CATTTAAGCCATCTTTCAAATTAGTCCCTTATGGATTATTTGGAGAGCTGTCGCTGATTCTCTCTTGAGAGCCGTCTCCACCAGCTCCTGGTTGACTCTGGTTTCAGTCAGTCCATTCCACATAGACTGCTTCAAAAGCTCAGTTCCTTTTAAGATAGCTATGGACTGTCTTGATCCTGACCTGCCGGGAACACATCCACATTCTTGGCCTCCACAAACCTTGAGGGAATAGGCCATTTCTGACAGCAGTCACTTCTCTCTATTCTGCCATCAGCACAGCCAGCTAGCTAGTATCTCCTGACTTGACACTTCCCCAGAGCCTGGCATCACCCTCTGTGCCACATGGGCTACATTCCAGAAGTTTGTGAAGTGCTCCCAGTAGAGCACCCTCTCTCCCCTCCTCCACTAGGGGGGCACATGATGGGGAGAAATGCCTGGCCCGTGAAAGCTTTCTCCAAAGAAAATCTCTCATTTCCAATTATCTGGGCTCTTCAACTTTGACCCTTTATATAAAGACCCTCTAACAAGGGACTAAGGTCTCCAAAAAGGACTTTCTGGACTCCTCTCTTGCAAATCCTGAGAAAGAAAGAAAAAAAAAAGCCAACAACCATATTTATATTTGATATATACTGTTTATAGACCGTAAGTAAATTCTGTACTTCCAATTCTGTTGTCAGTAGACTTTTCCTACAAAAAAACCAATTCAGTTAAATACAGAGCCCTTGAAGAATCCCAAAGGAAGATGAGAAAAAATACTACAAAGCGTAAGAGTTGGCCATATATTGGGTGTAATTGGAGGGCCTCATCAATATGGACTGAATCAATATGGACTTAAATGTGACTCATTGTGGGGAAAAGAAAGAGAAATCAGCCTGTTACTGTGTCTATATAGAAAGAAGTAGACATAAGAGACTCCATTTTGTTCTGTATTTGAGATACTGTTAATCTGTGACCCTACCCCCAACCTTGTCCTTGCAAGAGACATGTGCTGAGGTGACTCAAGGTTTAATGGATTTTGGGCTGTGCAGGATGTGTCTTTGTTAAACAAGTGCCTGAAGGCAGCTTGCTGGTTAAAAGTCATCACCATTCTCTTAATTTCAACTACCCAGGGACACGTACACGGCCAAAGGTCGCAGGGACCTCTGCCTAGGAAAGCTAGGTATTGTCCAAGGTTTCTCCCCATGTGATAGACTGAAACAATGCTGCTAAAAGGTTTATGGAGATGTTTGCATATGCATCTCAAGGCACAGCATTTTCCTTTAAACTTATTCATGTCACAGAGATTTTTGTTCATATGTCTTACTGCCGATTTCCTCCCTACAATGATCCTATTGTCCTGCCACTCCCTTGTCTTTAAGATGGTAAAGATAATTATCAATAAATACTAAGGGAACTCAGGGCGGGCACGGGTCCCCTGGGCCCGCTTTTTCTTTCTCTATACTTTGTCTCTGTGTCTTATTTCTTTTCTCAAGTCTCTTGTTCCACCTTACGAGAAACACCCACAGGTGTGGAGGGGCAGGCCACCCCTTCACTCATTTCCTCTAAAGCAGTCACCAACATTTTTGACACCAGAGACCAGTTTGGTGGAAGACATATTTTTCCATGGACAGGATGGGGGTTGGTTTCAGGATGATTCAAGCACATTTATTGTGTACTTTATTTCTATTGTTATTACATTGTGATATATAATGAAATAACTATACAACTTAATAATTATCCCACTTAAATGGGAGCCCTGAGCTTGTTTTCCTGCAAACTAGATAGTCCCATCTGGAGGTGATGGGAGACAGGGACATATCAGGTATTAGATTCTGTTAAGGAGTGTGCAACTTAAATCCTTTGCATGCACAGTTCACAATAGCATTTGTGCTCCTATGAGAATCTAACGTTGCCACTGATCTGACAGGAGGTGCTCAGGCAGTAATGCAAACAATGGGAAGTGGCTGTAAATACAGACGAAGTTTTGCTCACTCTACTCATGGTAACAATCTTGTTATGTTTGTCTTGTCTCAGCCGTCTTTTCAACCTGTGTCAATTTTTACAGTCAGATTTGTAGCTTTAAGACTCAGAGTTTATATGTGTTTTTCTTTCTGGTTAGTGCTGCGTCCATTTTCAGAGAGCTTTCCTTACATTTAATGGTCAGCGAGTTACTCACTCTAAAGTTTGCTCATTCACCTCAAGTTGACTTCAATATATCGCCTAAGGTAAGAAAAATACAAGTAGCATTCACTAAAAAAATTGACAAAATCACATTTTATAGGTGTGTGGGCAACCTTTCCCTCAACACAGTAAAAGTTATAAATGGCATCTGTTCCTAAACTAAGTCAGGGTAATTAATGTGAAAAAAACTTGTTCTGATAAATAACCTCTATCTTTAATCTCTTATTTTGGGAAACATGATCTGCTAAGCAGATTCAAACTTTTTGTTTTACAAGTAGCCTTTTTGTTTTGGCCAGGTGTGGCACACACCTGTAATCCCAGCTACTTGGGAGATTGAGGCAGGACTGCATGAGGCCAAGGGTTTGAGACTAGACTGGGTAACGTAGTGAGATCCCTCTTAGAAAACAAACAAAAAGCCTTTTTTTGGCTTAAAATGTAGTCTTGCATTTTTCCCATCTGTATTCCTCCTCCCCCTACAGACATCAGCTGTATGGACAACTGTACATCATTAATAACCATGGGAGTCTTGGCTAAGAAAATGCATATTCCTGGGCTCCAACCAACCTAAAGATTCAGAATTTTTGAAACTGAGTGCTGAGAATAGGCAATAAAACAAGTTCCCCTCGGGAGTTTAGACATAGCCTATTTCTTTTTATACTCCCACATAGCCCCCAAACCTACGAGCAACATGTTAAGTTCTTAATTCCCCACATCTTGATCATGCTATATATCCATCTGGGTCCCATTCTGCAAGTCTTGACCCAAACATGAATCTCTAAGCCTTTGTAAGAAAACACACAGAACAGGAACTGGCCAAAGCAAACATCCAATGTTAGAAAATGTAAGCACCAACTGAAGATTCACAGGGTTTTAAATTCTAAAATTCAGAATACTAAGAATTAATCAATTAAGACCAGTTAGGCTTGGGCTTTCAAGGAATGAATTCAAATATGATCAAATATTCACATCTCTGTTATCACCTAGGATTGGTTAATAGTATGCTTAAATATATTAACTTGTAACTGCTTCTACATCCCAGAGACATGTATGCTTGCTTGTCTGGCAAGGTTGGACATCCTGTTAAAATCTATATTCAGGTCTCTCCACTTTGAAAAGGAGCTATAATCAATCGAGGAGATTGTGACTGCTACAAGTCACATAAAAGTATTTAATTAGTTTCACACTTAGCAAAGAATCCAAGTCTATTTTCCAAGTGCCAGTCTCAGCCACCACATTAATACTGTACGTATTTCAGTTCTACCATAGTATTTCCTATATGGTACATGACAGAATACAATAAAGCCAAATTTCTCTCTTGACCTTTCCCCTAGAGGAATGTGTAAGACCGTCACTGAGCATAGAGCACCAGATAGTTTTCAAGGTCACTCAAAGTTTCACTCTCCATTTGAAGTCTGACTACAAATTATCTAAGATAGCAGCTTCCAAATTGGCTTTGACTTATTTTAAAATATGCATTGAAGCATGACAAGACTGGTGACTATTTTGCAGGAAAAACAGAACAAATTGAGCCCTAAAATTAAGCCACTGGACATACTCTCTTACTCCCCCCATCCTCTATGACTTTAACAGCATGAAGTAACAGGAAAACTGGAAAAACAAAGACCGTAAGCCAGAGCTGCAGGAAAGCCCATCGTTTTTAATAATCACACTGCTGCTCCACTTTCTGAAGGACAACTCTCAAGTGGCCAATTTAAAAAAAACATACCAGGCTGGGTGCTGTGGCTCACGCCTGTAATCCCACCACTTTGGGAGGCCAACGTGGGCAGATCATAAGGTCGGGAGATCAAGACCATCATGGTCAACACGGTGAAACCCTGTCTCTACTAGAAATACAAATAATTAGCCAGGCGTGGTGGCACACGCCTGTAGTCCCAGCTACCTGTGAGGTTGAGGCAGGAGAATCACTTGAGCCTGGAAGGCGAAGGTTGCAGTGAGCCGAGATCGCGCCACTGCACCCCAGCCTAAGCAAGAGTTGAGACTCTGTTTTAAACAAATTTCAATACTTTACACACAAAAAAAATCCTTGGATTTTCCAGTTTCCTGGCACTAGGATGTTAAATTGACAAAAGCAGACATAAAGCCTGGATTTGGGACAATCAAGGCGATAGTTACACACACATTATTCAAATTCCGAGACAAAAAATCTTGGGTTGGAAATTTTCCTTAATCTATTGGGAGCTACTATGTAGAAAACATTAGTTAATACTAATGAAGTGTTTTCATTATTCCAAAATCAACCTAGTTCAGATGACTGATGCACATTAAATAGGCAAATGTGCCAAGTTTCAGGTTTTATTTACTTGAGTAATAGCGCATCTCTGCTGGGCACGGTATCTTATTCCTGTAATCCCAGCACTTTGGGAGGTTGAGGCGGGCCGATTGCCTGAAGCTGGGAAATCAAGACCAGCTGGGACAACATGGTGAAACCCCATCTCTACTAAAAACACAAAAATTAGCCGGGTACAGTGGTGGGCACCTGTATGCCCAGCTACTCAGGAGGCTGAGGCAGGAGAATCACTTGAACCCAGGAGGCGGAGGTTGCACCGAGCCGAGATTGCACCACTTCACTCAAGCCTGGGTGACAGAGCCAGACTGTCTCAAAAAAAAAAAAAAAAAAAAAAAAAAAAACTCTCTTCAGTCTAGCTTGACATCCCTTAGCTATAAAATATGACTTAAAATACATGTATGATTATTTTACCTCCTTGGCTTGGGGGTCAGGAGAAATCAGTGAGTGAGGTAAAATAAAGAGCTGTGAGGGAAAAGGATTGTTGCCCTAGATGCAGAAGGTATCTTTTCTCTTGGAAATAAAGACCCCAAGGTCTCCATTGCACTTTTATTTGAATGTAATTTTTGGGACAATTATTCAAAAGGGCCAATATTTCCCAATTTAATCTGAGGTCATAATAAAACAAGCAACAAAACAGTGTTTAGGATTTCAGTTTCTCACCCTTATCATCAAGACTCACTGCCTCCCATCATCAATATTTATTGAGCATTTACAGTGTACTAGGCACAATAGAACATACAGAAAACATTGTCCCTGCTCTTGAGGAGCTTACATTCTAAAAGAAAAAATACACCTCTTTTAAAATGGCATTTTTGTTTGGTGTTTTCTGCAAAGTACTGAGGAAATATTTTGTTAAAGTGAGCTTTGGGTATAACTTAGCCCCATCATTATTTAGAGAAGAGAGGAAGAAGAAAAGAGGAAGGATTTTAAAGGCAGACAATGACAGACCATTCAGGATAGGTAGGGTTTTAAAGGGAGATAAACACAATCTCATCAACTAAGGAGAGATTTGCTGCAGTAAATAGGATGAGGGAAATAGTCTGTGGGGTGCAAGCAAAGGAAGCAGGGTGCCTTAGACATTGAGTGGAGCCAGAAAGATCATGCGGCCTTTTCCCAAGTACATGGCCACCAAGTAGGAATGGTTGGTGACAAGACAGAAGGCTAAAAAAGGAAGGTAATCTTGTGCACCTGACAAATAGAATAAAGGATCAAAATCGAAGGCAGGCTGTAAGAGTATCAAGAAATTCTTTAAAACCAAGTGATTTGGAAGCACAAAACTTAGTTAATGCTACCCAGTGTCATGATGGGCCAAGAACATTGTGGCTTCCTAAGTTAGAAAATGCCATATACCAAAATTTTAAATGGAATTCCAATCAATCTCCCCTTCTCTCAGAAAAAATAGGAACTCATTTTTTTCAGGGTGGAGAGGAAGAGAGGGGATCATGGGACATGGAAACAGCAGTTATATTAGTATTTTTGTTATGATAAATTTCGTGTTTAAACTTGGTAAAAGCCCATTAGCTGCCAAGAGGGAATAAGGAATAAATTTCAAAAAATGTACAATTTCCTTTAGAGAAGTTTCAGAACCAAAAGACTAATTTACATGAAAAGCTGTAGAGAAAGTAGTTGAAAAATCCATTCATAAAACTTTTATTCCACTTACATGAATTTAATACACGTGTTCTTAACAATTATGCTTGGATTGTTCATGAAAATTTCATAAGACATTAAACAAAGCTAGCCATCATCTCAAGTTATTTCCCTGTTAACTATTTTTACAGCACATGCATGTTAGGCAAGTATCAAAAAAAAAAAAAAAAAATCACGAAAGCAAAAAACCTAAAAAAAAGTTAAATACATGGGTTTTTGTTTTACTGCTGTGCTTGATATACATGAAGTAATGAATACCAAGCAATTCATTTTTACTGCATCTTTACTTTTACATTTGTTCTTAGGTTGCCTAAAACATTTAAATACAAATAAAATGAGTGTAGCAAAAATAATGAAAGCTAACAGCAGGTAACTTTACAAATAATGGAATGTGAACCGTTTCTGCCCTTATCCAGAGTAAAATGGGTCACAACTTTGTCTAAAGGAACACTTCCGCAGCTGTAGTCAAAGATGTGCACGTTGAGACTGAGTATTCCACAGATACACATGGTTTAACCTGTGGTGTCCATGGGGTATGTTTCTACTACAGCCTTCCAAGTGCTCCAGACCTTAAAGTACCCACAATTACTACACCTGTGACTGGAACCAATGATCCCTTTTATTCCCCACCAGGACAAACCAATATGTAGGCAGTTTTCTTCGCTTAGACATGGAAGCGGTTTTACACTGGCCCTTGTGAAGCCACAATGTACCAAAAGTACTATGCCGAACATTTATAACTTGTATAAAAATTCCACATCCCCATATTGGCCACCTCAAGATGAAAACAGATAACTCCCTAAATGTTAACTGGCTCTACTCCCCTAATATTAAACATAAAAACCACATGGGAAATATAGAAATTCAAATAGAAGTAACATAAACCTGTCATAAATCGTAAACAAAAAACTATTTGTGGGACAGCATGGATGACAAATGGTCTACTGTGTAAATTTTAGAATGAGGCAGACAAAAGTTGGAAGGCCGGTTAATTTTCCCCTCCTTCTCCTGCTTCAGCTTCGTCTCCTTGGGTATCCGATGTCCACAACTGGTAAAAGAAGGAAAGATTTTTCAGCAAGTTTCAGTGGGATTGGGGGGGTGGGGTGGGGGGGCAAAGTTTTCATATATGTATGTATGTTGCCAAGATACCCAAATGTTTTAGTTGGAAAGCATTCTTAAAAAAATAGCAGCATCACTTAGCTTCAAGATACAAAAACATCTCAATACACAAATTTACTTTCTCTGTAACCACTGTATAACCAGGGTAAGTATACCACAGAGTTGCCTTCAAATAATCTTCAGATACAGGAAGAGTTTTGGGTATCCATAGAAGGTGAAGAGAAAGTAGAAGAAATCTTTTTTTTTTTTTTTTTTTTGAGATGGAGTCTTGCTCTGTCACCAGGCTGGAAATGAACCCGTCACCTCCCAGGTTCAAGTGATTCTCCTGCCTCAGCCTCCTGAGTAGCTGGGACTACAGGTGTGTGCCACCATGCCCAGCTAATTTTTGTATTTTTAGGGGAGAGAGGGTTTCACCATGTTGGCCAGGATGGCCTTGATCTGACCTTGTGATCCACCCGCCTCGGCCTCCCAAAGTGGTGGGATTACAGGCGTGAGCCACTGCGCCCGGCCCCTAAATTATTTTTTAAAAACTAAGCATCAATAGGTGTCAGAACCTAAAGAGCCCCAATATGAAAGATGGACATCCAAGGTAAGTCCAACTATACCAGAAGCATCTAATTTGGCCCATGCTGAAGGAGCTAGGGTTGACTACTCTCCCCTGGTAGATCTTAGAATGACTCACACTCCAAACAGAATCCTATAGTCCATGAAATTCAAGGACCAGCCTCAACTCTGAGCTAAACTACAAATCTAGCTTTTCTAACACTTCAAGCTTAGAAAAACAAACCTTTGTATATTTATTAGGTTGGTGCAAAAGTAATTGTGGCTCTTGCCATTATGTTAAATGGCAAAACCCTCAATTACTTTTGCACTAACCTATCGTATGATTCAAAACAAATGCTGGACAAAAACCAGAACCAAATCTTTTAAGAGGTAAAAATGAAAGTTGTCCCATAGGTGGTAGGGTTATGAACTCTATTTATGCCAACTGCTCCGATGTTAAAAACGTTTAAGTCTTAACCACTCTCTAGGGATTTTCAGAGGTAATTACAAAAGGATTCAAGACAATCTTAAATTTTATATAACTTACACATGAATACTGAGGGGAAGGGGAAAAATCCACCTAATTATTATTTTTATATTCCCCAAATCATCCATTAGCTTCATTTATCTACTAAGCAAATATATCTCTGGCCTGGAAAAGAGACTACTACTTCAAGGTCACACAGATAGCCAAATGACCTCTTGGAAACTGTGTGTTCCTCCTGTTAATCAAGGGGTTTTGTAAATGCAAGATGAAATTGTTTCTAATGTCTCTCTTCCTGTTCCAACTTTCAAGGATTTTTGAATTTTCTGTATAAACATGCAAATTTGATACAAAATATTTCTCTTTTTCTAGAGTAATGTGTTGACAGTCTTGGTCAACCAAATTCAGACTGAAATGCTAAGTTTTGGGATAATTTCTTTTCTTGACAGATAAATGGTCTTATCAACCTATAATGGTGACAGCTAACACTAATAAGGCTCAGAGAAGACATATAAGTAATGACAGAATTAGAATCAAAACCCTGGTTTTCTTTTTGAGGGAGTCTCGCTCTTTTGCCCAGGCTGGAGTGTAGTGGCATGATCTCAGCTCACTGCACCTCCGCCTCCCGGGTTCAAGCAGTCCTCTTCCTCAGACTCCCGAGTAACTAGGATTACAGGCACCCGCCACCATGCCTAGCTAATTTTTGTATTTTTAGTAGAGATGGGGTTTCATCATCTTGGCCAGGCTATTCTTGAACCCCTAACCTCGTGATCCGCCTGTCTCGGCCTCCCAAAGTGCTGGGATTACAGGCGTGAGCCACCACACCCGGCCAACCCTGGTTTTCTTATTGCAATATATGCTCTTCATGCTATACTGATAGCAAAATTTAGTTGGAAGCAGATAGTAGATCAGGGCCTTTCAAAAAGTGATGAGAACAAAACACAGTATCTAGGTCTCAGGTCATCACTTGAAAAATGTCATCACTTCAACTAGAAAAGAAAAACTAGAAAAGAAAAATCCTTAATACCAAAGTTAGTTAACAAAGTGCTTCTTAACGTTTGATATAAAGATTCATTCATTCTTTACTATAGCTTATTATCTTGACTCAAGTATCAGAAAAGTTTATAGGTAGCTCCAAATTACGCTAATAAAGTAATTTTAGGTTTAATAAACAAGTATACAATGCTATTCAAAAAACTCAAGATTTTCAGCACTAGTATAACTAGTTCATAGAAAATGGCAGTGGACTAGAATAAAGTTGGAAGAGAAATGTATAAAATGAGGTTATATAATCCCCAAGAGAAATGGCCCTAAAAGTCTAACAAAAAAACAGTAATACTAGATTATCATCTGCAATTCCTACCTCTTTACCTGACACAACACAGCAAATGCTTGATAATTTTTTCACCTAAGCCTCAAAATTTCAAATCTAATATTTATCTGAATGAGAAGACCTAAGAAACAAGACATACAAATCAACTGCACTGTGGGCTGAATTTGAATCCCAATTCAAATAACTTAAAGAGAGACAATTGGAATTCAAGTATTATTTAGATAGTCAAACATTATTAGGGAATTACTGTTGATGTTTCTAGTGTGATAGTGACACTGTTTCTTTTCATACATCTGCAGTATCCCAAGGACAATCACGACCTTTCATATTAAGTCATTTAAAAGAAGCAGCTAGGCAAAATAGACTTCCACTTGGATTCTGTAGACACCTGAGATTTTATAACTCAAGTTATTTATTCCCTACCATTATCTTTACAAATACAGAGGCAACTTGATGGGCAAGAAAATCATTCTTAAAGGAACTAAAACATGTAGAGCCTCAGTACACTTTTGATACTAACATTCAAATTTTAGTAACACAGGTAACATCAATGTGTATAATTTTTTAGTTCTTAGTCTAATATTTCAGTTTCTGTAGTTTTCTTTCATACGATTTTAACAGTAGCTACTTATGAGAGCCTATGAATTGTGTTGAGAAACAATTTTTAAAAGATGTACTTAATAAAAAAAAATATTCCTCAGAGTAAAACATAACCTCTTCAACCACATTCATCACAAATGATGCTGTTATATACTTACTGTCAAGTTGTCTCTCAGTAATTGCATTATTAGCGTGCTGTCTTTGTATGACTCTTCACTTAATGTATCAAGTTCAGCAATGGCTTCATCAAAAGCCTATGATTTAAAAATAGTACATTAGATTTCAGTGCTCAAGTAAAAAGACTGCTAAATTTCTATTTAACAGGTAAAATACATACTGTCTTTGCAAGAGAGCAGGCTTTCTCTGGGGAGTTCAGAATCTCATAATAGAACACAGAGAAGTTAAGGGCCAGACCCAGTCTGATAGGATGTGTTGGTTGCATTTCCTTTTTGCTGATTTCAAAAGCTTCTTGGTATGCTTGTTGTGACTGATCCACAATCCCTGGATAAGACACACCAAAATGTACTGAGATAAAGTGTGCATTGTGTCTTCACCCCTCAAACCAAGCCTTTAATATCTCAGGTATCCTTTGAAATACTAACCTGTAACAGCTTAATACTGGTTAATTGAACAAGGCCCTTTAATTTTTTTTTAAAGCGAGTTTTCTCCTGGTACACACTAGTCATTGGTCAATGTCAAGATAAAACAACTTTATAATCTCATTACTGTTATATTTTTTAAAAATTAACTAGTTTGCACTGCTCCTCTGTGACCACTATTTCTTTTTTCTTGAGACAGGGTCTGGGTCTGTCACCCAGGGTAGAGTGCAGTGGCACAATCAGGGCTCACTGCAGCCTTGATCTCCCAGACCCAAGTGATCCTCCCACTTCGGCCTCTAGATTAGCGGGGACCAAAGGCTTGCACTTGCACCACCATGCCCAGCTAATTTTCAAAACATTTTTTGTAGAGAGAGATGTTGCTCAGGCTGGTCACTTTTCTTAAAATCTTGAAAAAACATTCCTGTGCACAAAATTGGCTGTTCAGAAAGCATATATATTAGAATACCAGTATTAGGCAGTAGATATATATTCTCAGAACACAAAAAAAGCACTGTTACTTCTTATTCGGCACTCTAAGCAATTAAAAGCAAGGAATTATTTACGCTTCAGAGACTCTTCCTCACTATGTTATCTTATACACGTTCAACCAACAGGTTTAAAAACAGCATACCTTTCTTGTCGTCACCAGCGGCAACCTCAGCCAAGTAACGATAGTAATCTCCTTTCATTTTCAAATAGAAGACTTTGCTCTCTGCTTGTGAAGCATTGGGGATCAAGAACTTTTCCAAAAGAGACTTAAGAAGAAAAGAAACAGACATAGTGAGAATAAAATATTTACAAAACTGAAAGAACTTGCATTTTTTAAAGGACAAACTATAGCCTTAAGTTATACAACTTTAACACCCAGTCACTATCAATACAATTGTGAATGCAGCCGGCACATGAATTTGTGGTTTAAAGCAGAATGCTTTGGGCAGCAATACTTTAAGTTTGAAGTTAGTGTTCAGTTGATTACTTGAGGACAACACAACTGAGTATCAGTCCCTGACAATGTCATCTATTTACATGCTGATTTCAATGAATGTGAAGCATGACCGTTCATATTTAGGAACATTTTCTAATGAGCTGGCAAGCTTTCCATCTGAAGTTTCATGTGTTCATGACATGAAAATAGAACATACAGGATTAACCTTTTGGGACTCTGAAGAAATGACTAAAGCAGAAACCAATAATGTAAGACACTTAAGGAGTCCATGCCAGAGAGAGAGGAACAAAATAAACTTCATTTATAAGAACACAATTCAAGCAAACCTCACAACAGATTAAAAAAACTGTTCAAAACAGAAGTTTCATTTTTCCTAAATTAAGACAGTGGTAGGGGCCAGGCACGGTGGCTCATGCCTGTAATCCCAGCACTTTGGGAGCCCGAGGCAGGCAGATCACGGTCAGGAGATCGAGACCATCCTGGCTAACGCGGTGAAACCCCGTCTCTACTAAAAAATACAAAAACCTAGCCGGGCGAGGTGGCAGGAGCCTGTGTAGTCCCAGCTACTCGGGAGACTGAGACAGGAGAATGGCGTGAACCTGGGAGGCGGAGCTTGCAGTGAGCCAAGATCGCGCCACTGCACTCCAGCCTGGGCGACAGAGTGAGACTCCGTCTCAAAAAATAAATAAATAAAAATAAAAAAAAATTTAAAAAGACAGTGGTAGGAGACTTACAGATCTTAAAGAGCAGACCTTTAATAATCTCATTGACGTCATTTTCGGCTAGTAAGATACATGATTACAGATCATCCCAGACAACAGATAAAATTAAATCATCATCCTATAAAATTCTATCTAAAACTATTACTACAGTCTGAGTCATTTGATCAGGATTTTAAACATTACACTCTGTAATTGATTTTAAAGCAAAAAAAATTAATCATTGTGTTGGGGATGGGAAGACAATAAATGTGTAGTTTTTAAATTTTCAGTTAAGGGGGAGAAAAATAATTCTAGTAGTAGAATTAGGTAAACATTAAAACAAACAAAAAAAACCCCAACCACCCATTCTCACTACCCTGCTTCCTTTAAAGTTCAAGTACACTCTGGGAATCAAGGTGAAGTCAATTTTAGTTGAGCTAAATTCCAAATAAATCCATTCTTACAAAACAAAGTATAAGTATACATAGCACCTATTTATATGCAAAATATAAATTTGAAAAATGCTTTTAAATAGTAACTCTAACTTTGTGTTTACCCGTTATGTTCCAATAGTGGGTAGGTGAACAGTTTTAACCCAACTTCTTCCCCCATTTTTTTTTTTTTTTACAACTCAAGCTAGATAACCCAGATGAAGTGGCAGTAGGGCCAGATTGCACTGTGCTGTAAGAAAGGTTAAAGGTGAGAAAAGTCAACCTGAAATGATGTTTCCTACAATTATTAACTGATACTTAAAAATACTGGCCTGAGGCCGGGCGCAGTGGCTCATGCCAGTAATCCCAGCACTTTGGGAGGCTAGGGTGGCAGGATCACTTGAGGTGAGCCTCATCAGTATGGTGAAACCCTGTCTCTACTAAAAATACAAAAATTAGCCAGGGCACCTGTAATCCCAGCTACTTGGGAGGCTGAGCCAGGAGAACTGCTTGAGCCTGAGGGGTAGAGGTTGCAGTGAGCCAAGGTTGCACCACTGCACTGCAGCCTGGATGACAGAGCAAGATTCCATCTCAAAATAAATAAAAAATAAAAATAAAACTACTGGCCTGAAATCAGAAGAACATTTTGGTTAGGACAGCAGCCTCTGTATTACACCACATTCATACTTTCATATTCAAAGTTCCCTTAGCTGCAAAAGTGTTTTGTCCTTTGTATACAATGCTTTTTACCACCTATGGTTGCTAGATCTGCCTCGAACACTGGAAAAGACTTGCATTTAAAATAGTCAGGTGAGTCTTTCCACTTAAAAACAGTATTTTAAGAAACAAATGACCAGGGTTTTCAAAAGTTTCATTGTTATACAAATTGTATTATTCATTCAACTATGGGAGATGGTATAAACATAGTGGCTCTGGGGTGAGTCTGGATTTGAATTACAGCACTCAACACTGTGAACTACTTAATCTCAATGATTCAGTTATCTCAACTGTAAGGCAGAGACCTCTAAGATTGTTGAGAAAAAATACAGGTAAGCACTTAGGAGTAAGCACTCAAATGTTTATTTCTATTATCACAATAACACCAGACACTATGCTAGAAGCTGGAAGCTGGAAGCACAATATTCTGGTACTTCATAATCTAGCTGTAGAAGCAAGGCTATCATTCCTTCCAGTACAATACACTTTAAAACAATTATTGCAGGGCACGGTAGCTCACTCCTGTAATCCCAACACTTTGGGAGGCTGAGGTGGGAGGATCACTTCTTGAGACCAGGAGTTTGAGACCACCCCAGTGAACATAAGATCCTGCCTCTACAAAAAAATTTAAAAGTTAACCAGGTGTGGTGGCACACTCCTATAGTCCCAGCTACTGGGGAGCTGAGACGGGAGGATCGTCTGAGTCCAGGAGTTTGAGGCTGCAGTGATTTATAACTGAATTGTACCACTGTACTCTAGGACAGGGTGACAGTGAGACTGTCTCAAAAAAAGCAATACTGCCTAATCACGTCCTTCACTTTTCAGTAACTTTAACCCCCTCTATGTATGTAGAGATGAAGGCCATAAACACGTGCAGTTACTTAAGAGTGAACCAATCACTGAAGATGTAAAATTTTAAAGCTATACTAAAAACTTAAGTTTTTAAGGAAAGGTGTTGATAAATGCTACTAAAATGAGTAATCTGTCTTTTGTAGGTAGTAACTTTGGAATCCCTACATGTTTTATTTTACACTGGGGTAATATGCTGAACTACTTTAAGTAGTTCCCTGGGAATTAAAATGGCAGTTAAGCACTTCTTTCTCCAAAGTTGAACACCGAATTAACCATAAAACAACTTGAAAGCTATTTGTTAGAACCCACAAGTAACAGGAGAGTTGGGTAAACAGCAGTCAGGCTGCTTATTGGCCCAATGATAGACCAAAAGAACCAAACAAGTGGCAAGTGTTTCTGGTGAGATGCTGACCATAAGAGCTGAGAAAGGTGGCTGGGCACGGTGGCTCACACCTATAATCCCAACACTTTGGGAGGCCAAGGTGGGTGGATCACGAGGTCAGGAGATCCAGGCCATCCTTGCTAACACGGTGAAACCCCGTCTCTACTAAAAATATAAAAAATTAGCCGGGCATGGTGGCGGGCACCTGTAGTCCCAGCTTCTTGGCAGGCTGAGGCAGGAGAATAGCGTGAACCCGGGAAGAGGAGCTTGCAGTGAGCCAAGATTGTGCCACTGCACTCCAGTCTGGGCGACAGAGTGAGACTCCGTCTCAAAAAAAAGGAGTTGAGAAACGCATAAATGGCGTACTTCTAACAAATCGTCCAATGATATAAGCTAATTAAGATTTAAAAACCAAAAACCAAGCAAGACTGGATTAAAGATTAAATTTAAAGGGGCTAACACTGTAGCTCAAAAAAAGCTAACTATAAAAGAACATTTTCTGCCAGGCGCGGTGGCTCACGCCTGTAATCCCAGCTCTTTGGCAGGCCGAGACGGGTGGATCACCTGAGGTCAGGAGTTCAAGACTAGCCTGGCCAACACAGTAAAACCCCGTCTCTACCAAAAATACAAAAAATTAGCCAGGCGTGGTGGTACATGCCTGTAATCCCAAGTACTCAGAAGGCTGAGGCAGGACAATCACTTGAACCCAGGAGGTGGAGGCTGTAGTGAGCCGAGATCGCACCATTGCACTCCAGTCTGGGCAACAAGAGTGAAACTCCAAAGGAAAAAAAAAAGGAACATATTCTCAGCCTCAACGGGATGATATGATTCCACAATCAGGAATCAAAGTTATGGCGAGTGTACTAGAAACTGTCAGGATAATGGAAAGAATAGGACATGAATGGCTCCAAGAGACAAGATCAATTAAATTTAGCAAGAGGGAAGATTTCTGTTCAGTATGAGAAAACTTATGAGTGATCCAGTACTGGAACAGGTCACCTGCTCAGTGAATGCCCTCTTTTCACATAAAGGTATAACAAGAAACTAAAGAGGATAACTTGGGTATTTTGTAGAGGGGATTCATAAATGTCATGTTTCTTTTAAAAAAATTTTAATTGACATAGTAGTTGTACATATTTTGGGGGTACATGTGATATTGATACATGCATACAATATATAATGATAAAATCAGAGTAACTGGGATATCCATCACCTCAAACACTGATTTTTTTTTTTTTTTTTTGAGACAGAGTCTCGCTCTGGTGCCCAGGCTGAGGTGCAGTGGCATAATGTCAACTCCCTGCAACCTCCGCCTCCCAAGTTCAAGCGTTTCTCCTGCCTCGGCCTCCTGAGTAGCTGGGATTACAGGCATGTGCCACCACACCCGGCTAACTTTTGTATTTTTAGTACCGATGGGGTTTTGCCATGTTGGCCAGGCTGGTCTCGAACTTCTGACGTCAGGTTCGACTTCTGAACCCGCCTCAGCCTCCCAAAGTGCTGGGAATACAGGTGTAAAGCCACTGCACCCGGTCTCAAACATTGATCTTTTATTTGTGTTAGGAGCACTGCAATTTTTCTAGCTACTCTGGTAGAGGAAATAAATGTTAACTATAATTTCCCTGTTGTACTATCAAATACTAGAACTTATTTCTACTAACTGGATTTTTGTACACGTAGTCTTTTTCAATTCTAAGGGAAGACAGAGTTCACAGAATTAGGTTAATGG